AACATACCATTGGGGTAATCATGATTATACCGATCATACTTTGATCTTCTGAATCAAATACCTAAACTAAACTTTGCGATCGTCATATTCACCACCTCGTAAAATTCGTTGCATATATATCGTCAAATTGGATTTAAAAATGTTTGAATTCATTCCGTACTTTCATGTTATGGAACACATATTGCAGAACTGTATTTATTCCATATCACATATCTAAGCTAATATGTGCACAATATACTTTGTAATACATGTATCTGTCCAATCGAAGATCGACAAACTTAACTTTGTGGCGTCACCATGATCGAAATAAGTGTCGTTTTATTGCCATATTATAATTTAAATTGGTCAATGGGTTTTAAAGTAGCATGTATTTTACCGTAATGCCTTATTGGAGTGTACCAGATATCTTACTGTCGTTTTAAGGGTCAGATATTTGGTTATTTGAGTTTTAAGTGATAAAAATACTCTTTTGGAGGTATATTATATATTACCGATATTACTATTATACTACGAGAGATAGGAACACCGCCTAGGTGCTTATTTTAACCAAAATATGAGTGAAGGATGAGTGTAGAATGAAACGAGATGTATAGGTTTGTTACCGACGATCAGCTGTTTTACTAGCCAGGATAAATTATTAAAAGCCCATCAATCAAGGCCAGCTGAGTGCATTTTTGAACCATAAAAAGCTACTAACTTATCTCTGGATTTAGCCGGCAGATCACTTCAACCACTGCAATCCAGCTGATAAAATTACAGTTAGAAATACTGAGTAGGTACATTTTGAGGTGGCAGATATATTCTATATCGTTGTAAAGTGCCCGATCACTACTTTATTAAAGTTTTAATACTACACACTTTAACGTAGTTAAAAGTACGGAACACGTTGGTAATCGTAGTTAAAGTGCTAATCCGATATCATATTTAGAACCAGATAAATGCCTTATGTGAAGCTCAGAATTTCGAAGAGTAGTAGTATGTGAAATGTAAAAAATTTCAGCTTACGATGTCCTAACTGTCCAACCCCCTCACTCTCCTTACAATGTCACAGATCCGAATGTAAACAAACCCGGGCTGCTCCACGGTGATTATTGTTTTACTTATTATTCCAGTTGATATTATTTACGCGCGGGGGGCAGGAGGGGGCAGCTGCCGTAGGGGGCGGTGATTGCGACCAGCCGCTCTTTCTTCTCTTTTCAGCGGCAACATCAAAGGAAGGTGAAGCACAGGCGAACGCACCTTAACTGGAACTCTACAGTCCATTTGGAAAACATCGACCTGCCTGCCCCACATACCATGTTTTTGACGTGGGTAGTAGATGTTATCGTTCATATTGCACTTGTGTAGGTTTAGGTTATGGATTGAATTTGACTATTAACGACTAGTTTGTTAAACAGTTCCGTTTTAAGACGAAGTGAAAGTGGATGAAAATTGTGGTTTTGACTTTCTTCGCCACCTCCTCGCTAACATACGTATTGCACTTAGGTGTGAAAATACTGAGGACTTCGAAAAGAGTTTGGCAAAAAATACTCAAAACGACTGCACATTCCCACATGTGGGCTGTAGTTATAAAATCTGGAGGGAAAAAATCCGGAAACTTCTTGCAAAATGTAGGCCTATCCAAAATGATTCCACAGGTGAGGAAGACAGCTGGGAAAAGTGATATGCTTAGAAATTACAAAAAGTGTAAAAACTAGCACCAAGAAAATAAAATTAATCTATATAAATAACATTAAAGTTTTGTCTGTACAGCTCAGAATTATATATTTTTATGATATTTTTACTTTTAATACATTAAAGAAGCCGAAACAAGTCTTATCTAAATTTCAGTCTATCTGTCTGTCTGTAACACTCAAGATGGCATTTTACGCAATCTTCTCCAGGAAAACGAGAGTACCTATCAAGATCCAAGTCAATTTAATGTATTCACTGGATTGGCGAGAGTGTCTTTAGCCATTAAAATATGGCCTTACTACTTTGTAAATAAAATTACGGACGTTTAAAAATGCAGTTTTGTGCGGTTATTGTCAAGTTTTCGTCCAATTTTTATCACATAATCATCTATGAAATAATGGACAGTTGTTCGGATCAAGATTATTTTTTCTAGCTGTCAATGATATGTTTACAAATACCAACACGATCGGGTGACATTTATTTGCGAAGCATTCGTTTTGGTTTGAAACTGTCAGATATTGTATTTGCGAAGGTTTGTATGTATTCTTATACAGTAATAGTTTTGCCAGCATATCTGTAAAAATGCACACTAAATATGCAAACCAACTCCTATTTTGAATATAAGAAGGTTTTACAAGATTCCCGTACGTAGAATGGGCACACAGCTAGTATTTAATATTAGGGATAAAGTGTTCTTATACCCGATGTTCAAAATATATGGATTATGTTATTCTTGGCTTTTCATGTACCGAATATCAGAATTAAATGTTCAATACCACAAAACTTGTAAACGTGATAAGCTGATTAAAATACCCAAATAGAACCAAAAACAATTTAGTTAATATAGTGTCTATGTGGAGTAAACTTTAATTAAATAGACAATTGATGAGTAAGATTTATATAAAAAATATTTTTGTATGATAGACCTATTCATGTTTTCCAGAAACTATTCAATGCTTTGAAAACGTGTAAATACATACCGCAACACGACTATTAAAAAAATTGACACGAACCGACGAAAATTCGTTTCTTTTTACTACCTAAACGCTAATTAAGTTCACGCTACCGCTGCGTTTCTAGGTATACAATTCGCGCTTCTTTGATATCGTGGGGGATCTTCCACAATTATTTAAGGGACACCGTGGCGCCTGTCATAGGATTTTATGGAGAATTCGTGGCAAGTGACACGAGTAACAATTATGGAACAATTAAGCTATAATGAAAGCCCGGCCGCATAACGTCCTTGGAGCGAGAGAAGTAGGCCGCGGTAACACTACAGCTACACCAGTACACTGTGGTAACACTACAGCTACACCAGTACACTGAGGTAACACTACAGCTACACCAGTACACTGTGGTAACACTACAGCTACACTAGTACACTGTGGTAACACTACAGCTACACCAGTACACTGTGGTAACACTACAGCTACACCAGTACACTGAGGTAACACTACAGCTACACCAGTACACTGTGGTAACACTACAGCTACATCAGTACACTGTGGTAGCACTACAGCTACACCAGTACACTGTGGTAACACTACAGCTACACCAGTACACTGTGGTAGCACTACAGCTACACCAGTACACTGTGGTAACACTACAGCTACACCAGTACACTGAGGTAACACTACAGCTACACCAGTACACTGTGGTAACACTACAGCTACACCAGTACACTGAGGTAACACTACAGCTACACCAGTAAACTGTGGTAACACTACAGCTACACCAGTACACTGCGGTAACACTACAGCTACACTAGTACACTGTGGTAACACTACAGCTACACCAGTACACTGTGGTAACACTACAGCTACACTAGTACACTGTGGTAACACTACAGCTACACCAGTACACTGAGGTAACACTACAGCTACACCAGTACACTGAGGTAACACTACAGCTACACCAGTAAACTGTGGTAACACTACAGCTACACCAGTACACTGCGGTAACACTACAGCTACACCAGTAAACTGTGGTAACACTACAGCTACACCAGTACACTGTGGTAACACTACAGCTACACCAGTACACTGTGGTAACACTACAGCTACACTAGTACACTGTGGTAACACTACAGCTACACCAGTACACTGAGGTAACACTACAGCTACACCAGTACACTGTGGTAACACTACAGCTACACCAGTACACTGAGGTAACACTACAGCTACACCAGTACACTGTTGTAACACTACAGATACACCAGTACACTGTGGTAACACTACAGCTACACCAGTACACTGTGGTAACACTACAGCTACACCAGTACACTGAGGTAACACTACAGCTACACCAGTACACTGTGGTAACACTACAGCTACACCAGTACACTGTGGTAACACTACAGCTACACCAGTACACTGTGGTAACACTACAGCTACACCAGTACACTGAGGTAACACTACAGCTACACCAGTACACTGTGGTAACACTACAGCTACACCAGTACACTGAGGTAACACTACAGCTACACCAGTACACTGTGGTAACACTACAGCTACACCAGTACACTGTGGTAACACTACAGCTACACCAGTACACTGAGGTAACACTACAGCTACACCAGTACACTGTGGTAACACTACAGCTACACCAGTACACTGTGGTAACACTACAGCTACACCAGTACACTGAGGTAACACTACAGCTACACCAGTACACTGTGGTAACACTACAGCTACACCAGTACACTGAGGTAACACTACAGCTACACCAGTACACTGTGGTAACACTACAGCTACACCAGTACACTGTGGTAACACTACAGCTACACCAGTAAACTGTGGTAACACTACAGCTACACCAGTACACTGTGGTAACACTACAGCTACACCAGTACACTGTGGTAACACTACAGCTACACTAGTACACTGTGGTAACACTACAGCTACACCAGTACACTGTGGTAACACTACAGCTACACTAGTACACTGTGGTAACACTACAGCTACACCAGTACACTGTTGTAACACTACAGATACACCAGTACACTGTGGTAACATTGGATTTTAACCAGTGTTCTAACCTAACTAGGAATATAACTACGTTTCACACTCGTTTTCAGCCAATTTGCATGAACATTCTTTATTACTGGAACAATTTCGAACAATAAGGCTTAACTCCAACCTTTTTCCAATTTAACGCCTCTCACCCTCTCTACAGTTTCTCCTGCTGTGCGGACAGTGACTGTCGGAGACATTAATCAGTAGTTTCAGCCCCTGCTGTGGCGGCGTCTCACAGGATGCTTCGCGGAAGAAGACAGACGCTACTGGTGGACTAAGGTGATTTAGTCCTGTGTCGCTGTCAGGTGGACAATGCGATGGGTAAACAGACCTCCCATCCTTACCCAGAAGTCGGATATAGAAGTTATTAGTCTTCCGACGCTAAACATCCTCTTAGTGTTTGACGTTTGAGAAAACATGGGACACTGGAATTTTCGGAAGTCAAATACTAGATTGAAACGCCTGCGGTAGAAACGGCTGCTGGGTTGATTGTTGTGTGAGAATTGAATGGTTTAGCCCATGATTTCTTGCGATTTGGTGGAGATTTGTGTTCACAGTTTTACATTTATACTACGAACTTAATCTTAAAATACTAAAACTGTGTATTCAAGGGCTACCCATGTTCTAACATCGGCGATACATAGAATTCTTTCTCTCTTTTGTCCTGATTTTTATAAGATAAGGTATTATCAACTTTATCAAAATGTGATGTAATGTGAAAATCACGACCATTTTAATTTTCTAAGTTATGTGAACAACTCTTTTTGTAAATTGAAAGCGGCATTTATTCATAACGAAATTTTACTACTAAATTTTACGTAACATACTATCGAAGGTATAACCGGACCCAGACTTTTATCTTCTTAACAATCAAGATGATTAATTGTATTCATTCCTCATGATTTCACTTTTTACTGTATATACTCTGGTATGGCTGCAGCGTAAGAGATTAGTCAATAACATAAGGATTAACACAAACAAGTTTATATACACGACAACTTTTACTGGTCTAAATTGAGTTTGCTGTTAGCACAATTCTCTATTTTCATCAATTTATGTTACGTACTAATATAATTTCGGTTCACAAACAATATTCCATTAAATAGGAGTTTCCTCCTAACTAATCTTTCCAAAGGAATCTTCTCAAGAAAAAAATACATCTTTGATGGTGAATTAGTGACTCAAACTCCCCCTGACTAAATGCACACGAAGCTCTTTGAAATAAATTTCGAAACAAGTGCCATTACTTGCACAACAACAGACTTATCACAAATATTAGAACCCTAATATTCGTGGACTTTATCATAAAAGATCAAGTTCACGAAAAAGTCACAGAAAACCTAAAAGAGCACTCATGTCTCCTAACAAAACCTTAGTCAGAAACGGCATCTTTTGAAATCTCAGGAGCGATTTCCCGCCAAATAAACAAGCTCGTTAAGAGTAACCACCGGTTTCCGGCGGCAAATTTCAAAATTAAACACATAGCAATAAAGATCCTCAAATTATAAAGTGCGGACGGCCATTAAATCGTAAGATCAGTGTGGGCGGAGGCGGCAAATTTAAAGGCAGAGTGTGCGGTACAATAGGCTCTAAGGCTCGTAAATCAACAGTAAGTAGGTTCGAGTCGGCGTCAATTTGTTTAGCATGCAGATCAGAGAGCGGCCGTGTGTTATCGAAGCTTTGGTCTCCCGCCGCCCGGAGCGCTGTATGCCGCCCCGCGCCGCACGCCGCCGCTGTGATGCATGATTGTCGATAATTATCGTATTTGTACGACTATTTTCATGTTATACATTCTTTGTAGATACTGTCTTGTACGTGGGGTTTTTTAGGGCAAAGGAAATGGCTATTTAGTCCTTTTTTGACTAAACGTTAACAAGTTATACCATTGATCATATATAGTATTGGCACTTATTATATACGTATATAATCCAGTGGTGTGGGTTAATAACTGTATGGCTAAACATATTTTGGAAGTTTGACTTTCCAAAATAGTTAGCTTAAAGATTAGCTTATTGTTGTGTTTATTCTGACTATACGGTACGTTACATTTTATAGGGATCATATATTACCTTGGCATATTATTACTGGGCTTGGATAATAGTGCTCACCTAGCAATCAAAAGGTCGTCGATTCAATCTAGAGAAAAGTCAATACATTTTTGATGGTTCGCAACTGGAACCAGCTGTTCCTGATTATTGGTTTTACATAAATTATCCTAGCTAATGAAACAGCTGAATTCAGTAACAATAAAGCTACTCAAATCATCTCACACTCGTCCTTCACTTAAATTCGAGTTAATATGCATATGTAGGTGGCGTCCCCAAATCAATGATTGGAAATTAATTGTTTATCTAAAAAAAAAACTGTATATACTGTATGTCCTAGCCTTGTGGAGTACATATATGTAAAAAGAGGGTGTTTTGAGGTGGTTATTTATTTATTGGTATGTCACCCTTTTAACCTCTTTAGTATTCTAACAAAAGAATTAAGTGAAAATGTGATTAGTATGAAAGATAGCATTTAGGCAACCTCCCCTTCCCAGCTCCCAGTTGCCCTGGTGCCCACAAGAAATGTTTTCAGGTATGTTTTTCCAGTATGTGGGTTCAAGATTGTACTATGAACATCTTTATGGTCACCTGGGCTGTAGGAGGGCCTTGCCCATGAAAAAACTCAAGTGGAAGAAGCTACAGCTATTATATCAATATGAAGTGTCTATGTCTATGTTATGCCAGATTGTTGTCAGACAGTTTCTAATATTTTCTGTACAGTTGCAGGCATTGCTGTATATCCTGACAGGGCTTGTGGCAGGATTCACAGCGATTCACTCCCAGTCTGTAAACCTAGTGGATGCTCCACAACAAACCGAAATACTCAAGGTAAATTTGAAACTAAATTTACTAGAATTACTTTGAAAAGTATATACTTAAACTTGCAAGATTCAAAATGTAAGTGATGAGACCCTAATAGTTATTTTTGATCATAATAGTGCTTATAAAAGTTGATCTAGTAAGAAATGTTTTTTGAAATATGTTTACTATGTAAAAATAGAACAAACGTTCATCATTTTCAAATATATTGTATTGGACAATTTTTTAAATTCTCATTTGTGTTTCTAAGACAGAGATGTAAAATTAATTAATGTATTTGTTGTATCTTAACACAATTGGCATTTTACTATGTTTTATGTAATGAGACAGTTCAGATTCTTATTTTGTTACTATTTTAACAACAATCATTTTACAGAGCATTATATTAAACAATCGCCCAATAACAAATGGCATCATTGTTTCGGGATCAAACCAGCAACCTGCTAAAGGCAAGCACTATAACCACTCAACTACCTTTAACAATTAATGTTTGTTTAGCTTCAAAATATCTAACCACTGTTATATTTAGGTCCTGGCGAATTGTTGTGGGTTGTCAGAGCCTAAAGCTCTTCATCGTGTCAATCTCACGGGAGAAGCAGTGTGCAACGATGGGTCTCCGGCCGGGTAAGTACTTTTTAACACTGCTTTACAGTTGAGTTTTGGATTTAGAAAAGGTGCTTTGGTAAATGGGCCCAGAGGTGCAAGAGGTATAAGTATGTTTGGGGGTGCAAGGGAAATAAACATTCCTCCAAAATTAAGGTGGGGGGGGGGGGTGCAAATATCTCTCAGGCCCATTGCGCGCCACATGACAAATATAATTAAATATAGACCAACAGCTTGCAGTGCTGCGGTTAGTAAAGGAGTTCACCAAGAAGTTCTGGCGTCCACCACTAGGAGCGCCGCGCCATGTTGTTACTGAGCACGCGCTACGATATACACGGCACTCCTAGCGGTGGACGCCAGAACTTATGCAAACTGCAGCAATGCTGTCGGTCTATATTTAATTATATTTGACTATGATGTAACTGATGTAATTAACTAACTACTGCCAAGATGTAAGTAGTTTAACATAAGTTTCCAATGAATCATAAATTTGTTACTTTTTGGTCCTTACCACTTTAACAGCAGGTTCTCTAGTTACAACCATGTTTAAAAAGGACAATGATCAAGACCAAATGTGTCCAGTTTTAAACAGTAAGCTACTGTTTTTTTTTTTTTTAATTCATACTGGCAACTTTCTGATACTATAGTCGAGCACTTAATGTCCAGCCAGATGACCTAGTAAAGATTTATCACCCAAGAAACTTCAAATACCACATCTCTGAATAAATTTACTGAAAACCTTATGTTTTCAGAATAATAGTTTTGAAATTATTTATTTAGTGGTACATTTAGGTTTCTTTTATATCGCGCAGTTATTTTGACTGTTTATCTCAAACTACATTTTGTGTACCTACCATAAAAAATGTATTCTCATGTTTTACAGATATTATATAAGGCATTCCCATGGGAGCAGAAGATGGATCGTATTTCTTGAAGGTTTGTATAGTAATATATACTAGAGGTCGTCCAGTGGTCGAAACTCGACCAAAAATATTTAATGTACAGACTTCTTTATTTTCATTCCACACTTTGAATAGAACATGTGATTGGAGTTTCTTCCATTTGTTTTGATTTTCTGTTTATATTTCGTTGTTATTTCGTCACCAGCATGGCAACTCATAATATCCATGTTAAATTTTTCAAAATTTTAAATTCATTTTTTGTGCTTATTTTTGAGCCTATTTTAATTTATAAAGGGATTCTGCACACCTACAGGAAAATAGCTTTCTAACAGTATGCGTAGATTTTCCCTACGATGCACACGAGCTGAGAAAAAAGGTTTTAAAGAAACATGCTTGCCTATTAATATATAGATAGATTTTATACATTTTTTAATGCAAATTAAGTGGTTAAATAAATGAAATGAAATGAAATGATTTATGGTCGTTAAAACTCATGTACAAAGTTCATGACAAATCGTCAAAAGAAAAACAAAAGAATCAAGATGGCTCTGGCAACTAAAATAACTTAAACTCTAAACCAAAGTATACTCTTCATGTTTGTACAGGCAAGCCTAGGTTATAGTAGTTTTTAAAACTGGTTTGAATTTTAAAACACACAGGTTTTTGATGGATGCAGGCAAGAAATTGTACATTTTGACACCTTGGTACTCAAAACTATTTTGAGTGGCTGTATACTTATGCCTTAGTGTATACAGATTATCTTTAGATCTAGTACAATAGTTGTGCACATCAGATATCTTTTCAAAGTAAGAAATGTTTTCTTTTACATACAAAAAACTTGCCAAAAAATACAAAGATGGAAATGTGAGAATGTTAAGACCCACAAAAAGGGCCTTTCTTCTATTCACACTAAAAATTAACCTTTATTTTAAGTTTGATTCCGCTGGGTAGTACTTTATAAGAGTATGATAAGATTAGTAAATAAAGCAGACAGGTCTGGCAACACAATAGATGAAAACAAAAAATGTACAGAACAGTTCCATATCAAACTATCATTTCAAAACTATAAACAAAAGATTATGTTCTATGTTGTCAAAGTTAACCTAAAATACAGAAATACCTAAAGATAATTGAAACTACTATCAAAGAAAACCATAGGTGATACCAATACTGGCTTCAGATTTGACAAGATGAGAATTCTTCTTGTAGGCTCTCCCTCTTATGGCCTCTGGCTATTTTTGCTCAACAGTTTATTCAGCCCGAGTTAAGCCATAGTTTTAACATGTAGCTGTAAGATGATGTGTTTCAGGGGGTTGGTACTGCTATGATCAGAGGAGTTGTCACAACCGATGGCATCGCATGAACCATCTCATGTCTTCCAAGCAATGGCCTGACACCAGAAATGGTAGGTCAGTGTTCTTATCTTGCCTGAAACAAAAATCAGATATAAAAGATATTCTTTGTCATGCAGCTTTCTAATGCATTTGTTTTTGTAAGTTTGAAAATGGTGAGATGAAAAATTGTATTTTTCAGTTGTGTTTTTCACTCTCTACTGCATGGATGTTTTTTAGTACATTCCATTATCCACAACACATATAAGATTGTTTTAAATTTCCTGGAATAAGTTTAAAATGTGTTTTACAGTCGGAGGTTTGTTATCACCAAACCCGGAGGAAAATCCTTACTGGTGGAACGCTAACCATGTGTGAGTAAAATATTTTAAAATATTTCCATTTTATAAAATAAAAAGATATTTTAGAATAATTAAGGTTGGATTTTAAAGAAAACCCAATCGGCTTGTAGGGAGTTTTTGAAGAAGGAAATAGAATTCACCTAGCTTACCTGAAAAAAATTAGAATCCAAGGGCTAATAGACACAATAAGAGAACGCAAAAATAACACTTATATTTCGTCCTGATACTCCTATACTTCTTCATATACTTTCTCTCTAAAGAAGTACTACTTCAGTATGGAATAATATTAGTGCGAAATATCTTTTAGCCGTTGGACTCTAATAATCTCAGGTAAGCTAGCTTAACTCTATTACTTGTCAAAAAATTCTTCAGAATAATTAAGTAACTACTAGTACTTACCACTACTACTAGTTACTACTAGTAACTACTAGTAGTGTACCTGTTTCTTGAATTCGAGCGATTGTGAAGTATTACAGGCGTTATTTTAAAACGAATAACAGTCATAGTTTCTGATGACTTTAAAAGAGTCGACTCAAAGATCATGGAAATACTCACTATGTACATAACAGTTTGATATAATCAGCATTTCTTGGAAATATCTCATCATTTTTCAAAAGCTGATCTTGTGTTTTAGAGTTTTCTACAAATGTTTCCCACTCATAGACGCATTAGGTTGTACATAATAACGATTATAAATTTTAAAAAAACATGATTTCTATTTATTCTACTTGTTGTTCTACTGTTGACTTTCCTATGTGTCCATAGTTTGCAAATCGGCTCTTTCAATGATTGCTCAAGAAATGCAGCACAGTCTTAATTCAGATTTTGTGTTTTTTTAGTACAGTAGTCTGTATTAAACTTTCCAGGCTTGCTCATTTTTTCCATTGTAATAATTACGCCAACCCAAATTCAAATAGTAATATTTCATTCAAACCAAGTCAGTAAATGTTTGCAATTTAATTATCCAGCTGATCATAATGTAAACAAATGTGTTCTTCATAAGGATAACATGGGAACTTTAAAAGCCACTGGGGCTGAGCCCAAGGGACTTTTTAAAAATGTAAGGTCAGATTGCAAATCTACACACCTAGACGAACATTTTGGTATATAATATGTGGGATTAAATCTTAAAACAAAAAAGCCTTATTGTTCACAAAGTTTCATGTAGCGTATTAATAATATAGAAGATTAGTACATATCAGGTTATCATTGACACAAATAACTATTTCAATATCACCATTCCAAAGTTAATCATTTACGCAACTTAAGACTGTTAATCACAAGACACACCATAACTTTGATTGTATGTTTTATTTCTTGTCATCTTTTAAAGAGGTTCTTGCTGGCGTCCCTCAGGGTTCAGTCTTGAGCCTTTGGTTATTTATATTGTACATTAATGACCTCCCTGTAATTTTAGAGATGTGCTTTTTCATATCAACAAAGAAATTTTGAATGCTCTATCTGAAAATTTGCGCTCAGTGTTAATTTTTTTAGATCTCAAAAAAGCTTTTGATAGTGAAGGCAGAAAGCATCTTATTTCAAAATTATCTGCTATAGGTGTAAAGGGTATCGCTCTCTCGTGGTTCAAGAGCTACCTCAGCAACAGGCGACAATTCGTTTACATAGATGGAGTCAATAGCGATGAGGTGCCAGTTGACTATGGGGTGATTCAGGGGAGTACCCTTGGGCCTATTTTATTCCGAATATATATAAATAATATTTCTAAATTGCCGATTTTCGGAAAAATGTTTCTTTTTGCAGATGACACATTGATTTATGTTAAGCTCAATCAGATCTCGAATTAGTAAAAAATGGCGACCAAAATGTACTATCTTATTCATACCTATATCGCTTGCGTCAACGGCTGACTACAACTTAACAAATTTAATTTTGTACAGCTGTGACAACCAATTCAATGACAGTTAGTTGTTCTTGCGAGACCTTAGAGAAAGTTAACTCATACATATACTTAAGAATAATTTTTTACTCACATATGAAATGGATAGAGAATATTAATTTCTTGCAAAATAAAAGTAGAAAACTGATATTTTGCATTTAGACAGTTAAGTGATGTTCAGTGATGTGACAGTTTTAAAGAAATTATCAACATATTTTGCATATGTGGGCTACAGTCGGTTTTGTCATATGGAATTAGCTTGAGGAGGGGCGTGCGGTCTACATCTGACAGGTCTGATTCTGTTCAAAAGTCTACTAAAAGCTGATTTCAAAAAGTGTAAAAGATACCCCTCAGACTTACTATTTCACGAAACTAGAATATTCACCATTGCATATTTTTTATCAAAGACATTATAATTTTTATATTTAAAACTTCAATTCAATTTTATTTCCATAACCCACACTCACAATACAAGATATTCAAATAGAATTGGAATCTCCACTATTCAGCAGCACAAATCCTGTTCGAAAACAAATTGTTTCTACATTGCACAATATATTTTGTTCCGGAATTATTCCTCTAAATATAAAGCAACTCAGTTGTTAAGTTCCCCTACATTAGGTGTATTCAAAAATATGAATAAATAGATTATGGTTATTTGATACCAGCGATGAAGAGGCCGAGGCTCTTATCACTACTGATAACAGGCGACCTGCCACTGTCGGACAGCACTGAATGGACAGATGGCCTCTGCAAACTCTTGCAACCAACATAATTATTTTTTAGACTACTCATTAGCTTCCCCATTAAACATATTCTGTTGATACAAATTTAAAAAATGAATATATCTCCTCATATTGTACTGTATCTTTAAATCACGTTCCCATAGCACATAGTAATTTTTATTAAATTTTAAAACTTTTTCTTAAATAGCAAAATAGCTCAGAATTCAAACAAAAAACATAATTTTTACAACTGGAGTCTACGCACAGACCAATGAGGTCTATATAGACTCTTTTCCATTACATTTATTATTATTACTAGCCGAACAAGCATATTTCAATTAGTTTTAACTTTATACTATTAAACACTTTTTTAATTCAATTTTACATAAGAAATGTATGTAATGCTTCTAGACTATCTTCAAATTTTATTTTTTTATCTTAACTTGTTTGTACACTTATTGTGGAAATAAAACTGATTTGATTTGATTTAGTACTTTTAATTATTGATTTTTTTCAAAACAGTTTACTGTTACTTTATTGTTTGGTATCGAATTTACTGTATTTAATAAACGTAGGCCTATCAAATAATTCTAGCCTGTGTTTATATCTGGCCAATCACTTGAATAGCATGAAACATTCATTCATTGTTAAGAGATTTCCAAACGAAATATAAATCACCAATTAATTGATCTTAAAAGAAGATTGGTTCTCTTCATATTGGGTCAGTTGAACATGTTTTAAATAACCACACAGAATTCAATAATTAAATAACAACTTATCGTAAGTTGATTTATAATTAGACATTACGTTTATAATTCACGGTAAAAATGTTCTTACAATTAAGCAATTTTAAAAAAGAAGATGGAGTAGAATAAGTAGAACCTGTTTTTTTAAAAGAACATTTTTTAAATAAAACTTTTATAAATCGTAGGTTGACAGGTAAAAAATACTCCATAAAACACAGTAATGGTGGTATAAAAAAAAAATAGCCTAACTCAGTACAAACACTGACTTTGGATTCGTCGAGTTGAATGGTTTAATTAACCCATTTTAAATTTGAAGCATGTTTCTGTGTGTTTCATGTGATTTTTATTATTTTTCCTACACTCACCCGACAAAGTGGGCTTCCTTGCACTGATTATAGTACAGAAAGCTGATAATTTCTGCATTCACTTACTTTGGCAAACACCATAATTTCAACCAAACAACACGAAACAGCGTTCTTTTATTATGCACGTAATCCGTGTATGCTTGAACATAGGTTGGCAACACTTAAATATACTACGACTACGATTAGCTGGTGCATCGTTTCCCATTTAGTTCAATGTTTGGATTTAACCTAACCTAAAAACATGTTGTACAGTGTATGAAATACTAATTATTTATGTGTATATGATTTATAGTAACTGTATGAGGAACATAATGTGTAACGCTAATGCAAACTGCCTTTGCTGCACTCCAGAAACTAGATTTTTCTCTATTTGATTATTTTCTCTCGTGTGCAGACAAGTGCCGCTTCACCCACTTAGTTACACAAATAACTATTTTTATTAGTTTACCAAGAGGTTTTGATGATAATTCGGTCAAACATCATGTAACTACCGTTTAGGCTCGCAACAGTTCGCCTATTCACCACTAGATGCCACTACCATCGAGGCTCGCAACAGTTAACACAGTCACCGCTAGATGTCCCAGCAATCGGATATACTCGGTCCACCGTGGTTAATTTATTAACTACGGTAATATTTTTAACAATTTAAACTGTATAAAAATTAGAAACAAAATATTTAATTCATAAATAAAAATAGTGAGCTATACATTGTTAATGTTTTGTTTCGATTTAAAGCCTAGGTATTTGACAAAGACACATTTTCATTACTTGACACTCGCAGTGATTTTTAGGTAGCTCCTACTAGACTACCGTACTAGTAAACTTCTAGGAATTATATCAGTACTTGTACAAAATTGTTCTTTCTTTGAAAAGCCGAGAGTCGTGTCTCATTTCTGAGACTGATAATTGGCTTATTACAGTGACTACGCTGGCGCTGGCACACCCACACCACACATGTAGATTGGTCCTGTTCACGGTTTTTGTTAATTTTAAATTTAAATGAAAAGATTACAATCCTAATCGAATAAGGATTAAGGAATCATTATTTTACTAAGCTTTCATAGGTTTACATTTAACTATCACCCTTGTGGTATCTGCAATAGATTGTAGGCTACGCTCTCTAATGACTACTATATAAAATTGGCAAATGTTTTTAATTAATCTACCTACACAGTTTTTTAGTTGTCTCGATTTTATGACTATAAAATCGACTATAATGGGTTGGGTCTTTCCGTTCATCAGGAAGAGTAGATTTATCTCTCTATTTGATTTTTAAAGC